GCTGCTTACTGGCACAGGCACCATAGCCACGAGAGTCCTGCTTCAGGCCACGATTTTTCCAGCGTTCACTCTTTTCATTCTCATATCTTCTCCAAATGGAGAAGTTGGCAGGGTCAGACACAGGCATTGTCTGGTGAAACTGTTCTCTGTTCCGTTTCTAGCTCTAGAAGAGACCCCTAAAGCCCATACTGGAGTCTTGTCTGGAGTGTCAGTGACTTCGGCTAACACCGCATCTATTTTTGTCTTTTCTCAAATAGTTAAGAATCTGTCTCGAGTTTTCTAAACTGTGGACATACTTGGGAAATGAGCAAGGGTGAAGAACATTGGAATAAGGTCACACACACAAGAGAATATCCCTCAGAAGACATATGAGAAGAAAGACATCTGTGGCGAGACCTCTCCCAGAGGCAGCCACCGAGTGGTAGACACTGGCTGTGTGGAGAGTTACCAAAGCAGAGCTTGGGCATAGCAAAAGACGTTAATAAGTGCTTACTGAACAAACACATCCATAAGAGATCCTTTTACGACTCAAGACTCCCCACTCAAGATATCTGCTATTGAGTACTCCTTCCCAATGTCTCCCGTGTCTCCTCCATAACTATTTCACAAATCACCACCACTGGCTCCTAGCACCACTTAGTTGGACTAGCATCGTTATTTCTTTCTTGATCCTCCCCAACTGATGCTAGATAAATATCCTCATACACTCCTTTCATTGTATACTTTGTGAATGCAATATTTACTTTAAAATTTTAATTTGTTTTTCTCAATGTAGAATTATAAAAAGTCACATAATTGAAAGATTTATAATGAAAAACTAGCAGCCCCACTGTCTCACCTCTCCCAACCTCTGAATCTCACTCCCAACTCTCGCCTATTTCTTCTGGTATTCATTTCCAAATTTCTAAATATTATATTTAAAACACTGCTCTCTCTTTGTCTTTCAATTTTAGATACTTCTTAAAAAGACAACCTCATAGCAGAACCTAAGATTTCAGTCTGTAACACCCTCTTTCCCTCTCCCTACTCTGCCTCCTCCATCCAAGTCAAGGCAATTATAGCACCATGAGGGCTAGCTCAGACTTCAGCCTGGACAATGGGAACTGATTGATGGCTGTGCTGTGCAGAGAGCTTGCTATGCTTACATTTCTTTATTGTAACCCTTCTGTATTCTATGAAATTAAATGCTTATGGGGTTGTGTGTATAAATACATCCACATAGAGAGAGTGTGTGTGTGTGAGTGTGTGTGAGTGTGTGTGTGTATTTATGTATATGGTATATGTATGTGTCATTCAAAAACTTATGGTCTTGTCAGAACTATACATATACATGTATATACCTGCACACACATGCATATTCATAGGCACATACATGTATATGTCACAAATGAATTGTAGAGCTCTAAAATTGCTATATTTAAGAGAAAGTGAAATATTTCCTGATACATTATATTCAAGTCTTATGATTGTCAAAGTCATATGTATATGAATGTTTCTATACATGCATGCATATACGTGCACACATGCAATTATGTACACATGTGCACATATATGTCCACACAAGTAGTTTTGACAAAACTATAAACTCTTGAATATAACACATCAGGGAATTTTTTTAAATTAAAGAGCATTTTTTGAGCTGGATCCTCCTGTTCAAATCTGATCTTAATGCCCTCTAGAACTGACAGCTCTCACCGGAGACTTCCCTTCACCATCATCATCCCGGGAATCAATCCCCTTCCATGTCTCCTCTATTGAATCCCTCATTTCTATGAGCATCATGTTTCTCTTAATTACTAATTTTTATTAATTCACATTACCCAGTAACTTCTTCAGAAAGAGTATCTGAAAATATTGCTAATCAATCCTTGTGAATAATTGGTACTTTGGCTGGGTATAGAATTCATCTTAAAAGTTTTTCCTCCTTCCTGAAAGCTTTAGAAATATAGAACTTTCTAACTTTTAGAGTTACCATTGAGGGGCTCAATGTCAGCCTGAGTCTTAACTGTTGGTAGGTAAATTTTACCCTCTTCCCAATTGCTGGTGCTTTCAAAATAGTGTTTACTCCCATGTTCTGAATTTCATGGTGATTCATCTTGGTGTGTTACCTTTAATTAGTTGTGCTGAGCACCCAGAGGACCCTTTTATGGTTAATTAACGAATCCACCTTCTATCACCCCGCCATAAAAAAAAAACTATTATCACAATATATCCAATGCGTACTTTCAATTTGAACATATTCTTGCAAACTGTTTTCTGTGCATGTATTTATGTAAATGGTATTATAATCAGCTGGTCTCATTTTCACTAAACTACTCTTAAATACCCTATGTTCCCTGTGTACTTGGTATGTCTGCTCCTAACTGCTACATTGTATGCATCCAACATTTTACCCTTCTAGTTTGCCTATTGTCTACACTTCCCAGGTAGCCTACAACTCCCAAGGAACAATGCCGGAAAGAGCATCATTTGCACATGGCTTAGCAGATCTTTTAATCTGGCAACATCAGTCTTAGTTCTGGGAACATTTCTCACATTTTTCTCTGTTAGTTCTCCCCATTTCACTGTTCTCCTTATGGAACTCATTAAGATCTTGGATCAACCCTTTTGTTTTCTATGTGAGGGCCTCAACTTCATATTTCAGTCCTTTACTATCTTTTAATTTTTATTACATTTTTACATTAATTGCAAATTACTTACACTCCAATTTCCAAGAGTGCTTGTTAACCTCAAATTCTTTTAATAATTATTTTGTAGATGAAATTATTTTTATTCTCTCTCTGCTAATATCGAACACAGCTTTTGAAGTTGTCTTCTACTCTTCGCTTTGTTTATATTCCCTCCAGTTCCTTTTTTATTTCCTATTTATTATTTCATTTTGGAGCTCTTACACTGGGCCTTTTCCTCAGTGCTGATGCTCCCTAGATGTGTGCTCAGATCAAAGAGTAAGGCAAGGAAAGCTCACCAGAAACTAAATGGCTGGGGCTTCCAGAGTGACAAGTGTAGTGGGTCGAATGATGACCCCGAAAGACAAGGCTCATATCCAAATTCCTGGAACTCCTGGATGCTGCCTCTGGTCCAGACAAAGGGTCTTTGCAGATATAGTTAAGGACATTCAGATGAAAAGATCATCTGGATTATCCAGGAATCCTAAATCCAATGACGAGCATTGGTGTAAGAGCGAGGCAGAGGAAGATCACACAGACCTGGGGGAGCAAGAGGCAGTGCGACCACAAAGGCAGAGGCTGGAGTGATGTGGCAATGAATGCCCGAAACTTGAAGTGCAAGAACATAAATTTCCCCCTCAAGTCCCTGGAAGAAGGATGGTCCTGCCACATTCTCAACTTCTACCCTCCAGAACAGAGAATAAAATCTCAGTTTTGAGCTACCTAGTTTGTAGTGATTTGTTGTAGTAGCCATAGGAAACTAAGAGCTCACTGAAGGCGGTAGTGCGGGAACCTATCTCTTTGGTCTGCCTCAAATGTCAGGATAGATGATCTCTTTAAAACACTTTACATACAGAATTTAGAAGAATCCTCTAAATTGCTACCAGATGGCTGCGTTTCTGGGAGAGCCGAAGTGGGCTGGGGTACTGACATTCAGTTTGTGGAATTTCATTTAACTGTTTTCATTATATGTCAACCCCACCCTTGGATGCACACTCTGTTACCACCCAAGCATCTGATTAGATGTCCTGCCTTGCATAGCAGTGGGTATTGAGTGGGGCAGATGTCTGGAGACAGATCTAAAGTAGAGGGAGGAGCAAGGATTTTCAGCCAATCCTCTTGTTTCTAGCACCACACCATGCACGCCCCAGTTATTAGGATTACCTGGAAGAAGATACCTGAAATGCTCCAATTCTTGAAGCTTTCTTGGGCCCTCAACAATTAATTTTATTTCTTTATGGGCATTCTCCACTGTACACATTAAACATCAGCTTTCCAACTATCTCAGTTACCATTCACCCCTTAGCTTCAAAAATCATCACACATCTCTCATCTGTTGCGATTCCTCTTACTCGCTTTGCCCTTAGGTGGATTTCCTGTGTTAGTGGAATTTCAAGGAATGACCAGCTTGGTTCAGTCCACCATGCTCACATTGAAGTACCACCTTATAAATTGTCATTGGAAGAACCTAATGCCACTCTGACAAATTGAGTCCAGTTTTGCTGAGTAACATAAGGCCCTCTAAACCATTCCTCGACTCTTAGGCATCCTAAGATGCCATGCCATGACTCCTCTACCCTCCAGGACATGTCCCCCATTTCTTCATCTTTGCTTAGGGTGTGGTATTCCCATTCTTGGGATGTTCACTCCCACGTATTCCATGTTATCCTAAGAGGCATTTTATATGCTTCTTGAAACCAATCTCAATGATTTCCAATGGTATAGATTTGTCCTTTCCCCCCACTAAGTAATTATACCCTATATTAGTTAGTAAAATTCTCCCATTTCAGTTGCAAGCATTTGTGTTGCTATCCCAGCAAAACATGCTTCTCAAGCAGAGCCGGTGTGTGTGGGGGGACCATACCTTGTACTTTATGTACTCCTTGTAATACAGACCATGGTATTGGACATTGAGTACTTGCAAACTGATAAGTGAATTCAAGTCACAATTGTGGGATTTGATGTCCAATACACTGCAGTGTAAGAATCATTTGAGGATTAAACCTGCATCTTTTTGATTTTGTATTCCTGACAACCAGCACACTATTTGACATAGAATTGCCAAGTAAAAAGACAAATGGATAAATGAACTCTCACCAATCACCATGTTCAGTATTGTACCTGATGCAAAGATTTTAACTCCCAAGAATAATAAAGGTGATTAGAACGATGGTTCAGTAGTGCATCTCCAGCATCTAGAACAGCAGTTGGCACAAAGGGACTGCTCAGTAAGTGTCTTCTAAATGAAGGTTAAATGAATGAATCTGTCATGAGTCAGGAGGCATTAGTTTCCAGTTAGAAAAAAAAAAAAAAACAGAAAAACATCTGGCTTACCCAGAAAGTACTCCCAGGACTAGGTTGAGGACAAAGAAGGATCCGATGATGATGAGAGGGATGAAGTACAGCCAATTCCAGGTGGCTCCTAAGGCATCATTGGTCTGAAAGAAAGAAAAAAAATGGTTCCTTAATACTTCAAGCCATCTGTCAGAGGCAAGGCCAATATTCCTGTGGCTTCATACACAGGACTGTGTGTCAGACAGTGCAGCAGGTACATACTGCCTCCCTGTACTCCCAACCTGGCTTTACTGTCAGCCCATCTGATCTCTGCCATGTACGTAGTGAGGACACAGCATCAGCCTTCCCATAATATCCAGCTAGGAACATTCCAACACCCTTCCTTCACATGAGAAAATGGAATGCAGAGAAGCCAAATACCTTTCCAAGGTCATGCAAAAACTAACTGGTATGATGGTGCTGGGTGACATGAGCTCTAAGCCTTTGCTCTCTCCATGAAACAAATTCTCCAAAAGACAAAGGCAGGCTGTGCCCATCACTATTCTGTGAATGCTGGTGAAGTGTTTGATGGGGCTGCTTAGAAAAAATCAGGGCCATCCACATCTTGCTAAGCCCTTGACCTGGGCTCTGACTCTCCTTCCACCATAGTGCAGAGCTGGTCCAGGTCTGGCCCCAGCAAGGCTCTGGACAGAACAAGGAATATACTAGAATCAAAATGAGATCATTCTGTTTCTCTTGTATTAACGCATAGGGAAGTGAAAAAAAATGCATCAAAATCTATATTTTGGATACTTGTACCATAAGTTGGAATAAAAGCCCCAGAATGACTAAGAATTAAGAGTTCTACCAAACATCTGTCCAAAAGCAGCAACCATTGCAGATGTCTCATATGCTGACAGTATGTTTTATTAGACCCTTGAACTAGAACATGGGACTATGTTGAAAAGTCTTCTCCAACGTATGTGCCTTTGGCTTTGTCCTGATTCTCACACACCAAGTCTTTTCAAGTAGTCTTCCTGAAATGTATTTCACATGTGCAGAGTTTTAAAATTGCCACCCAACTCCCAACTCCTCTTACACAAAATTTAATACCCATTTGAAATAACATGTATTTAATTCTCAATTCACTGGGGGGATCAAAGTCATCAAGGTCAAAACTCACATCCTACTTTAGTAAAATTAAGACTAGAACTCAAAATTTCTCCGGCACCCAGAACTGCTCAGAGAGATGATTACAACTGAAATAGACTCAAAATTAAACATTAAAACACTTTCTGAAATGGATGGAACAAAGACCTGTCAGTTTCAGTGGCTAAGATCTCTCTTTGGTTTAGGCAGCTCTGATCAGCTCAATACAAGCAGGAAGACATGAGCCAGACCTCAGGAAAACAGTTCCTGATTACCAGAAGAGGCAGAACTAGATGTCAAGAGTCACAAGAGTTTTAATGGACATGGAAACCTAGTTTTTCTGAGATAACTGAAACATTGGCCTTCCTGTGAGCATCAAAACGAACTGAATGATCCTTGCATAGCTAGCTCTGTGTTCATGATCATAAACCAGATACTCTATGAAGACCAGTTGGTTCCAATGCTTCACCAGGGGGCTCCAGATTAACAGGTTTCATTCACTCTCTGGTTTTGCCAGCCTCCTATTTAGTTATTAGGTAGCAAAGACTGAGTCTATGCCTAGCACCTAGATCGGGGCTCAGCTACCCATAAATCTTACTCAGTATCTGCAGTGACAAAAAATGACAATGACAAAATTGTGACAAGAAGTTATCTCTGGTCTCAGAGGTAACACAGCCATGGTCTGAGGTTAGCTCAGAGCAACCTCATTTGGTTGGAGAGAAGTATGTCCAAGATGGCGTCGTTCTCATTGCTATAATCTAACCGGTAGCAATGTGCGCTATGGAAAATGGGCTTCAGCAACCAGAGAAACCTGGAAAACACAGCCAATTACATATGCCTCCCAGCCTATGAGAGAACCTGCAGAAAAAGGAACATGATTTACTTTGGTTATTATGACATTTCATAAACTTCCTTGATTGTAGAACCTTTTTCCTCAAAGAAAGCCTATTAATACATCGCGAAGCACCATGTATGAAATGTAGGGATGAACACTCCCCTCACCGGCCCACATTCTGGAATGGGCTTCTCAATTCTTCTAGAAAATGCCGATGACCAACAGGGTCTTTTTAAGTCAGTGTTTTATGAGAATGTTTTGGGTGTGCTTTAATCCATGTCAAAGCAGACACCTTAACTATTTACTCCTCCGGTTTCTGTCTGGTAGCTGACGAAGGGTTTGGCACACTCAGATGCTCAATTGGTCAATAAATGACCCCATTGCTAATAAGTTGATTCTCTTTGTCAAAAATAACCCAATGCAAATTCATTCTGGATACACCTATCCAACTGGGGAATTCTCCTGAATTGCTACAGATGTCCTGTACCAAAGCCCTGGAGCCTCCTAGATGGGGGGGGGGGGAGAAGAAGAAAGAGTCCGGAAGACACCAGCCCCAGCAGCGTCATGCCCTGGAGGTTATGAAAGATGACTGACAGCTTAAAGGTTCCTCGGGAGAAAGCAGCTTGACAGCTTCTCTAGATTATTCACAAACCTTTTAATAGACTTGCCGCACCCTCTCCACACCCAGCTCCCTCTCCCGTCTCACTCCTTCCCCACCAGGAGACTTCCCCTCCCCTCACGTGCTTCTCCTCGGGTTAGTGACACATCCCGGGGGACAACCCTCAGTAGGAAGTGGGCAAGTGAAGAACTTGTGCTTCTCTCCTCCAAAATGGAGGTTCATCTGATGCTAATTAGGGCTTCCATCTCCTTCTGAGTCATCATTATTAAAACCTTAAAACTGTCCAAGTGTAGGAAAGACATCGACTCAATCGTCTCGGGATTAAAAAAGAAGCCATCAACAACTCTGAAGGCAACAAGCGTCCCGATACCATGAGAAGTGGAGTGAGGGGGACACTGCGGGCACCACGGCAGAGTGGTGGCTGTCGTCTCTGGTGGTATGCACGCACGTCTGTCTCATAGGAAGAGGAAGGGAGCAGTACCTGAATAAGACACTATCTCCCTTTTCTTCTCTGCTGCTTCTGTGGCAGAGTTACAAAGCTCACAAGCCTCTTTGGTATAGGATCCTCGCATTTTATTTTCCCCTGCAATTCTTCCTGCGAGAACATGGGACAGCCTAGCTGAGGACTCCCCGATGCCGTTTCCGAACCACTTTCTCTTGGATTCTGACCCCAGAGAATCTCACAGGGGAACCTCCGCCACTCGGACCTCTATTATAGAATTGCTAAGCGTAAATAAGGCCCTTCCTACGAAGAATGTTGGCACAGAGACTGCCAGCTGCCTCCTTCCACGCCATTCATGGAGCCACTATTGCAATGGTTAACTTTAGATTGAGGGATGGTGAAGCATCCCTCAAGATGGTGTGTCCATCAAGATGTCCCAGAGAAGAATGGCCTGCGGGTCGGGGTACTCAGTGGGGAAGACCTACTCCTAATGTGGACAGGATTAGAAAGGGGACTTGTGTCCTTGTCTGCTCATGTGCACACTCACCATCTCTTCCAGAACCCCCTGGAGGAGGACATCCTTCCTCCTGCCTTTGGGTATCAGAAGTCCTGGTCTGAACTAAACTTGAACTCTTCACTCAGTCGCTCCCCAAGGGTGCTTGGGCCTTTGGCCTTGGACTAGGGTCTCCACCATCAGCTTCCCTAGTTCTAAGGCTCCAGACTGGATTGAGCCAGTTACTGGCTCGTCTTGTTCTTCAATGTTATGGTTTAGATATAAGATGTCCCCCAAAAGCTCATGTGGGAGACAATAAGAGAAAGTTTAGAGGCGAAATGATTAGGTGAAGGCTCCCATAACCCAATCAATGTAATAATCCACGGATAGGGATTAACTGGGTAGGCAGGTAGGGTGTGGCTGGAGGAGGTGGGTCACTGGGTACACGCCTTTGAGGTTTATATTTCCTCTGTGGTGAGGAGAGCCCTCCGCTTCCCGAGTGTCACGTTCTGAGCCGTTTTCCTCCTCCACTCCTTTCCACCATGATGTTCTGCCCAGAGTCAGTCAACTATGCACTGAGACCTCTGAAACCGTGGCCCCTAAATAAACCTTTCCTCCTAAGCTGTTTTTGTTGGGTTTTGGGTCACAACGGCAAAAAAAAAAAAAGCCGACTAAAACACCCGATATACAGATGACTCTTGTGAAATTTCTCCGCCTTGGTGATTATATGCACCAATTCTTGTGACAAATCCCTTCTGACATGTCCTATAGGTTCTGCTTCTCTGGAGCACCCCGACTAACCTGCCTACATGTCAGCTATTACAGAGAAGTACTTTGGGTCAGCGTCCTCTGGTTTAAGGAGTTGATGCCCCTCCCATCCACAATACCTTCCCCCAGGCTGGCAGGCCGGCTGCACTCCCTCCTTCTCACCTGCCGCTTCCCTGAGTGACACACACATGCACGTGTTCACAGGAGGGTGATGACAGACAGAAAGCGGTTCGGGGGTGGGAGCCCACCTGCACAGGAGTGCTCGGCGGGTACCAGCCCTGACATCGTGGGAACGCGTTTCTTTGGGAACCTGCCTGATTGAGGGTGTGAGCTCACCCACTCCCTGCGTAAACAGGCACACACGGCAATTATCACATTAATCTTTGGGGGTGGGGTGGGAGGAGCAAGACTGGAGAGAAAGATGGGGATGGGGAGAGCAAGGAAAGGGGGCCCCATAGGAATCCTGGCCCGAGTTTGTACAGGCAGGACCAGATCCCCAGATCTCCACCTTTGGAAATAGGTCTCTAACTGGGTTCCACAGAGATCCAAGGAAAATGTGGTGAAGGGCCCCTCAGATGTGTTTCCCCTTCACCCAGCAGCTCTGATTAGGGAAGATGAACTCTCTGACCAAGCAGGGAGCCACGTATGTCAGGCTAGGAAGGACAACACTGATCCCAAGGTTTAGAGACCAAGGGTTTCTGGGGCACATCTGCTTCCCAGGCTGAGGCAGCGCCAGCTGCAGGACCCGTGCGAGCCTACAGCAGAGTTTCTTCAACTGCAATACAACTTCCACTGGGGACCAGATAATTCTTTGTCGCATGGCTGCCCTGGGCTGGGCATGTAGCTGCATCTCTGGCC